AAATGCAGCCAAAGAGAGAGAAGGCCTACGAACGGAGAAAAAATCCCCTCAAAACTGAAGAAAATGGAAATGGTGCCAAATTTACCGCAGGCACAACAGATGGATATCACAGTGATGCATGTAAAATATAATTGAAACTCCCTCTGCATTTACTCTCTACAAAACGCTAGGACACTCCGAACTAGCTCACTAGCATGACTGCCGATGACCTCTTTTGAGAGTTGTTTATAAGCTAATTACTGGCGGGACTCACTCCATATTTAAAAGAAAGAAAGAAAAGGCAAAAGAAGAGGAAAAGTAAAAAGAAAAAAATAGAAAAGAATTACAGTTTTTAATTTTTTAAAAACATCAGTACCAATTTACCATCGAAACGACTGAACGAATCAATAAAGTGCAAAAGTGGTCTAAAATAACAGCGTGGGAGAAAAAAAAAAGCAAAAAAAACTCACTAATGAATTTATTACTATATTTTTAAAACTTGAACGACTCCCAGTAACTAGTAATAAGGGGAGGTGTGGTTCTTAATATTTGTAAAATTCGATCCATTTTATCTCGAAATTCCTTTGGCCCACCAACATGCCATCTTCTTCTGCACATATAAGATGCAAAAAGGGCATATTATGGGAACTCCAGGAGCCAGATTACTGGTCCAAATGATCTCAGCTCCCAAATACGACTTCCTCAAATGGCTCAATTTTACATATTTTATCGAAATAGCTAATTTCAGTAAAAATATATAAAATTGACTCAGTCATGAATTTACCTTTCAGGCACACTTCAGAATAACTTTTCTCCTTCATTTTCTTAGAAAAGAAGAAATAACATACATTTTCAACTTCGGCAGAGGTGGGCCCCGGTACCCGATCTCCCAAACGCGACGATTCCACTCCGGCAAATTGAGATTCTTCCACAGCCAACTCGTGAGTCTCATTTTGCCGCTTTCACTTCATTTCATCCATTTCCGATATTTTATTCAAAAAGTGATATTTTGGCACAAACTTCCTTGAAATTTCGCGAACCCATTTGTTGTACAACGCGACCAGCGCGATCGTTGGTCGAAACAGCCTCAGAAAAAGCGAGTTCCTCCTCCTCAGGTTTAAACGAACAGACTGTTACTAGGCATAAGATGACATTCAGACTTTTTGAACAGGCTTCCCAAGACATTGGCTAGATTTAAAAAAATAAGGTCAATCCCACTATATTAGGCAGCGATTAAAGCTAATGCAAGTTTTACGAGTAAAACTGAAGAATGTTCAGGTCTCCTTTTTATCAAAGTATCATGCCCGGTCTTCAATAAGCGATTTAGCTGCGCATCATGTTTCCATCTATCCGCCAAAGGGATACCGGGAATAGTAAAACGAAATATCTATTTCACTACCAAACAAAAAATCAAAGTTACGTCCAAAACTAGAAAGTTTTTCAGCCCAGAAGTCAAAAACTCCGTCAGTATACACTCTTTAAGAAGAGGGGAGACATTCGGTAGTATCCATAGGGCAGTAAGTGCCAACAGAAACAATTTGCTGGTAAGGCTACTCATGAGTCATTCTTTCGAGGGTTGCTTACAAGCAAGCTGATGGTGAGTTTGAGTCGCTCCCTATGGCAGTACCAATTTACCACTGAAACAAATTTGAACAAATCGCAGGGGGACTGCACGCCGAATCGATCTTTCAACCTTCTTAACTGCCACTAAACCATTTCTTGCAAGCACCAGATCTTCGCGGCCTTCTCTAGCGACTGATAAAATCGAGTACGCCGAAAACTGGTCAAAAAAAACTCAGTCCACAACGCAGTTTTTTTTTGTTGAACACAAAGAACGACGTGTACAAGATATTTCAATGTCAAAAAATAGTCCCCGG